CGAATTCTTCCTTTCCCAAAGTACCAGGGTCTTGCATTTGTTGGATGGCTTGACAGCTGCGCTGCCACTCCTCTGTAGCCTGGCTGGCTCTTGTCTCTGGAGATGAGATGTGTGAAGAGTGTGGCCTTCGGGACCCCCCGCAAAGCACCATAGTTATTTGATTTCACCACTTCGAGTCCTTTCTCTCTTCCGCATGCCGTGCTCACATGACACTGCTGGCAAGTTTATGGGATGGGAGATGCAGGTCGCGCTAGTATCGTGCCTTCGAGGCAGTCTGTTCGTGACTGTTCGGACTTCTCCAGTTGTTGATTCAAGCTCGGAGTCAGACGTGTTTTGCCGGATTAGGCGCTGCTGTTCTTTATTTGTCTCAATGGGCTGTTTCCACCTAAGCCCACAAAGAGCGCGCTCTGTGACTAGCTGATAATCTTAGATACTAGTAACATCCATGACTAGCTCTTGGCCTCTTGTGTCTTGGAACGGGATAAGTTTTGCGTGTGGTTCTGTCCACAGGTCAAATGACTGTGGACAATGTGTCGCTTTCATAGGCCTTACACCTATAAATCAGAAGCACGACTTTTACGACAAGAAAATGACTCCTGTCTGGGTTTAAGACTCGCCGAATAAAATTCATAAGTAGCACAACACCTTTGCAAAACCACAGTTTGTTAGAAAACTGTCGTGGTTACAAAGCAGTTCGTCGTAGTTTAAAGGACATGGCACACAAATAATTGCTCACCAAAAATATATTCCTTGAACAAAAGACATTGCTGATTCTTAAAAGCGCTTGCAAACCTAACATACGTGAAGAACTGAATTTCCCACATTACGTTTGTCTTCAGCCAAATTTATGAACTAAGCCACTGCCCAAACGAAAACACTCTGCTGTTGTCTCACCTCCCATACGGATGTACGAACCATGCAAGACAAAACTTGTTAAAAAAAAATAGCCGCGGTAGGAGACCTTACAGCGAAAAGATTGACGTACCAATAGCGAGAACACATACCGACTTTACACCTTAACTAGCAAGCGTTTCGGTGGTTAAATCCTTCCATTTGGTCAAAGACGCTCTTCTTTGGTGCCAGTCTTTTAGCGTTACGACTGTTGTATGTGAACGATACCGAAACCCAAAGCTGACAAACAACTCTGACAACCTTATGACACCTAACATCACGAGTCGCGTGATAGGTATCAACGCGACATTTTGTGGGTGAAAATACCAGAACTTTCCAACACCTTTTAAATTTTACCCGTCGGACGA